TGCAAAATTTTAACCAAATCCATCAAACCATTAAAGCTATGCCCTATTTAAATATATGTAATAATTGTTATAAAAATTAAAAATTATCACTAGTATTTTATTATATGACAACATATAGTTTTGATTTATATAGTATACCGACCACGCCACCGGGTCATATACTGATTAAATAGGGTCAGGTTATTGAACAGGTTGAACAGTACAACCCCATTTAGTTAGGAGCACTAATGTTAAGATTAGAACTTTATTAAGGTTAAAGAATAGAATAGTTTAGAGTAAAATTGCCCAAGAAAAACTTTTTGTTAGTGAATAAAATGCAGTTTTAAGCATGTAATGCATTATACAGGCAAATCTCTCTATAGTCATCTCTAATACAACACATATTCTTTATAAGCACATATTTTTAAAAGCCAACTATATATTATTAAATATAATAAATTTAACTTCTATAATTAGCACACTTCTCTATAATCACCTTTTTTTGTATTCTGAAGGTGTAACTATTTCTTAAACTGTTTCTCCTGCAAATTTGCACTGAAATTTTTGAAATTCGATTTGTAATTTATGTAGTGCATATAACATAGAAATTTAAGGTTTTATTTATTTAATTTGAAAAATTCTGATTTTTTTATTTAGAATTATTCATTTATTTTTAGTTTATGTAATACATTGATCTTTTTTTAGCAATTGTTCAATCATCTTCTATTAGGCTTTGTCAATTACAATCATTATAATTTATTTATTTATTTTTTTTATTTACTTACTTTCTTTTTTATATACCACTTTAGTATTATTTCCAGACATCAAGAATACAATATGAATAATGATGCTGAAGATAATGATTCCTATATTTTTGAGCTCATATGCAATATTGAGAATAAAATTAAAAGTAAAGTTAGAGATATTACCAATGATGAAAGTGATGAAGTTGAAGATGAATTTGTTGATAAAACTGAAGAAGAAGCTGCTAATAAGACTAAAGAAGAAGCCATGAACATAAAAAATAAAAAAAATTTAATAAAATTAATAAATATAATCAAACAAAAAAAAGTATCTTTAATTAACTTACCATTACTACCATCATTTCAAAAATTTCAGCATACTAAACCATATCATATTTCTCAAGTAAAAGTAGCTGATAAATTACCCATTGGCAAAATTACTCTATATTCAATTCTTTGTCTATTATTTTCTAATTTACAATTAAATTTAATTGTTGAAAATACAAATTATTATGAAATGGCAAAATCAGCATATGTTCTATAGAATAGGTGGGCAAACTCTGCCAACTCCACAACTCTAATATTAAAAAATTAATGATTACTAATCATTAACAAAGCTTATTTCTTATATTGCTCACCTATTCTATAAAACATCCAAATCAGCTAGTAACAGATATGAATGGCATTCTTTAACAATCGAAGAATTATAAATATGATTTACCTAATAATTTATATGGATGTTTTTAAATTACTATATAGGGAGGATTACTAGAAAATGAATTGAAAATATCTACAACATAAAATTACAAAATATATGACTTTAGTTTGTTTTAAACAAATTATGTTTTATTTTTAATTTTTTGATTTTTTTTATTTTATTGATTTTTTTTAAAAAATAAATGATAAAATGATATCTTTATATCGCAAAAATTGAAACCAAATTGTCATGATTACTATAGTATTCAAAAATTAAACTCTTGACCATACATATTCAAAAAGTTTCTAAATCGATATACTTACCAAAATCGCAAGTTTCTATTGACTAAATAGTCATTAGATTTAGAGAGAGAAGCAGCCATATAGTACAAATTAAAAATAAACCCACACCTAAAGGATACAAAATACTTTCTTTATGCAATTCTGGATATATATATTGTTTTGTTTTTACTTTTCATATTGAATCAATTGAAACTAATTCTGAAATTACTTCAATTTCGAATATTAACAAAATTGGTTGGCACATTTATTACTTAATATCTCAACTTCCAAAAATAAAGCATTCAATATTTATATAGATGATTTTTTCACTAGTATTAACCTGTTTAGTCATATGCGAAAAAACGGGTATGGTGGTTGTGAGACAAAATTTTCTACTTGTTTAAAAATAAAAAAATAACAAAAATTCGAATGGGATACTCTTTCTGAAGCAGTTGTGGATGATATTTTAGTTGTATTTTGGATGGATAATGGTCCTGTGACTATGTTAATGACCATACTTGAAATTTTAGATAAGGAATTTCAAGTAAACGAGAAAGAAGAAAGCCACGAACAATAGTACAAATGCAGTAAAAGTTCGTAATGTGTTTGGTAATGCAAATAAGAAAGTTCTTTTCATACCTGCTGTAATAGATGATTACAACTATAATATAGGTGGTGTTGATATAATCGATCGATTAAAGGGTTATTATGCTACACAAGTTTCTATACATTGTACTTGGATGCCATTATTTTTTTGGTTTCTAGATATCTGCATTGTTAATATTTTCTTAAGTTCAAAAAATCTTGATTTGATAATGGTGCACAAAGATTTAAGAATAGATTTGACATAGAGTTTGGTGAAAGAATTACTTGAAATAAGTCAAATTAGTCAACAAATAAATACACGGACAAAAAAAGAAACATTCCAATTAGAATTACAAAATGATCAACAAAGACCATTTTATGTTACAAAAAAATTTGAGTTACCTATAGAACGATTACTCCCACAAAGTTATCACCCAGTATATTACAAGCAAAGAGGTTCCTGTATTTGGTACAGGTTTAAAATATGGCTGAGCAAAGAAAACACAATAAAAATTCACCACAAAGCCAGGTGTGGTGCACAACATGTAATGTGCCATTATGTCTTAATAAGCAGCATTCAGATTGTTTTATTGAGTATCATGAATGTAAATAACAAAATAAATACTGTTTTTATATTGTGGTATAAAGTTTTGTATCATATTTACTATTATTTTGTCATGGTTGTAATATAAGTGAAAATCAAAAAAATTTCAGTGCAAATTTGTTCCCAATTGACAAATGGTTTAAGGGATAGAGTGGTTTGACTGTATTACACTAGCTAAGTAATAAAGATACTGATGTAATAATTATAACATATTACACAGGTCAATAATAATTAGTAATTTTTTATTTGAGTGGGTCAATAAAAATGGTTTAAGTAGGTCAATAATAATGATGTTTTTGCGCCAATAACTTTTAATTTTCATTATTAACCTTAATAATCTAAAATTTGTTTATCATTAAAAAATAAAGATGCTAATTGTTGGGTCCAATTAGTCAAACATTGCCTAAAAGCATTGTCACGGGTTAATAGAACCCTTGGTTACTAACAATCTAGCTCAAAAGATAAGCACCTTACAGCCACGACCACCACGACACCTTCTTGTTTCAACTATAGTAGATATTACACTTATTTACTTGTTGATGCTTTATGTTTACAGGTAATAATAATAATTTATTGACTTTATTTCGCTTGCTTTTATATTCAAATTTTAACTATTGCTAAATTACATAATTATGGGGGCATCCATAAATTACGTTATACAAGAGGGGTAGGGGTCACACAAAAATAACGTTTTTTACATTTTTTTACTAAATGGAGAGGAGTCAAAATGAAATAATGTAATTATTTTATAAAACTTTGATATCTCGTGATCTAGAGGTCCAAATTGGTTTAATTTGGTACCATTAGATTCGTCTCATTGAGACGAATCCAATGGTATCAAAATTATCCAATTTGAATCACTGGATCTCGAGATATTGGCAAAAAAACTATTGGTTATATTATTTTATATAAAATTACTATATATTTAATAGTTTTTTTGCTAATATCTTATGATCCAGTGATTCAAATTGGATGATTTGGTACTATTAGATCCGTCTCATCGAGATGAATCCAATGGTACTAAAATAATCCAACTTGGACCACAAGATCATGAGATATTAAAGTTTTTGTAAAATTTTATATATAAACATACGGATTTTAAATTTTTTTTTATATAGTCTGGGGGGGTCAAGAGGTTCTATGTGGGGGTACATAACGTTATTTATGGATGCCCCCTATGGATCACGCCATTTTACCTTTTTAATTGTTTATTACTAATCACGCCATTTTCTATGGACTCTATTACGACATTATTCATGCACCGCTTATTAATTTACGCACTATTTAACTAATTTATACATCATGCAACCATTTATTTCCGCATTGTTACCTTGTACGTTCAATATACTGATCCCGATTCTGGTCGATCGTCACGTGGGCACGTGACCACGGGACCACGTGACGACCGATCGATTCGAACCTTCGTAACCCTACTAATAAAATTTTTTTTTTTTGCTAATACGATTATTTCTCTATTGTTCTAGAGTTCCAAATCGACCCCACGTATTAGGTACACCGCATACTGGCTATCACCACGACTGCATTTTATTTTTAAAACAATAAAAGAAAAATACGTCAAAATCAAACTATACTTAACAATAACCTAGAAATTTCATATAAATGAACAATTAACTAGTATAAAAATTTTCTTAATTGCATGATTGTAGCTAAAATAGTTACAATATAAATATTAAGACCATTGTTAAATTTACTGGTTCCATCACTAGTATTGCTTGAAGTAGAATTATTACTTGTAGAATTATTGCTTAACGCACAATTAATATTCCAGGCAACATCAAAACTAACTTTCACTGGTGTTGCGTTAAAACTTTTTATTACTAAACCAAAGTAAAATGAATCTGAAAAAGTTATAAGTCCACTTTGACATGGCAATTGTCGACAAGAGGTGATTAGATCAAATGTTTGGCTTACACGGTTGATTTTTCCTGTAGATCTCCACATGTACATTTTAATAAATCTAGGGCTAGAAGATTCAGGAGATGGATCGTTAATTGGAGTATTAAGAACAGAACCACATGTATCGTTAAGATTGATCGAATCGTCAGCGAGTGTTAAACCACATGCTAAAATGTAAATTAAAGTTTTATAATATGTCTATAATTCTTTATTTACAATTATTGTTAAAATACTTACAGAGAGTACCAGAAGGAGTGCTAGACCAAGCCCACCAAGTACCACCCCCGGGAATGAGAACAGTTGCAGAATTTGCATTAATGACCCTTACTATAACAAATTATTTAATAGTTTAAAATTATTAACTTATAATGTTTAGGGCTATTATTGAGTTTAACTTTTACCTATTTGCAGTAGTAAAAAGGTTATTAAAATAAAGCAACACTTCATAATATACTATCAGTTTATAGTGCATTTCTTTTAATCATGAATTTTCGTGTGAAGAAATGCTATTTATATATCAATAAGTTTTACACAATATTTATAGCCATAAACATTTCTCGAAAGCATTAACGTAAATAATGCGTATAGTTGCTGAATTCTAAATAGAATAATCTAAAGGTTTAGCACCACCAAACATTTTTACTTGTACATACATATATTTATAATAGGGGGTTTCAACAAATGAGTGACGCATTAATTAAATGAGAGTTTGAAAAACCTTATTGGTATTTCAAAATTTTAAAATTCGGTAAATGAAATGGGAGTGTCTGGAGATCCCCATTTAACGAAATAAATAGACTTTTCAACGATAAGGATCATCATTTCAAATTTATCGGAAAATAAAATAAAGTTGATACATCGCTCATTTGAAAATAAATCTGTAACCAATTCCAATTAAAATTAGATTTCCGCATTTTAACTTTGAACCCCCTAATAGATACAATAATATTTTTTGCTTATTTGGATGATTAGTGGTTCCAAACCTTAATTTCTTGTTATAAATAATACAAGAAGACAGATAATTTTTTATAAAGTTATATATGAACTATTTCAATTGATTTTGCTGCCAAATGATACTTTAAATTTGGACTTGCAGTTCCTCTATGAATTTATACATAGATTTTGGGTAGAAAATTTTATGAAATAAGAATTATTCACCACGCGTGTGCAAGCAGACTGACATTGCATGATTTTAATTAGGAGTATACAGCATATCTTCGCTACGTACTTGCATATATAGCAAAATTATAAATCACTAATTATAGTAATTTTATAATCGTATTTAATCGTATTACATATAAAGCAAATAATGGATTAACGTTTTCCAGATATTTAATATTAGTTTCTAGAATCTCAGCGGGCGTATATTTATTTGTATTTGTGATACAAAATCGGATATCAATCAGAATCAGTCAGGTTCGAATTCAAAAAAAAGAAACGGCACTTTAACAGATTAGATTGGGTGGATAATTCACTAGTAATTTTCTGTTAGTATTATATCATATATAGGGTTGCTGGTGCAGGTATGATTTTAACGGTGCATTATTAAAATTATATCAGCGTCAGCAACCTAGTCATATGATAGTCTGAGCATTTTGTTGCTTTGAGTAACAGCAGAGACAGTGCCCGATCCAGAGTGAATCCCTCTCTCCTGAAATCAATCAAAAATTAAAATTAAAATATTTATATTGGATTCAATTGTGATGGATATAATCCCTCGCCAGTTTTAATATGTTTGTAACATTAACGGTCTCTGCTGTTGTTTTGAGTACAAGATTTATTATCAGTCGGATTTTGATTATTCCGATGTGTTCTCATTTGGTACTATTTGTATTTAAATTGTTTTCCTTTTACATGTTTGTGTTTTTCATAGCACGCTTAATGTTGTGAATTTCCTAACAATTAGTGTTGGGATCCGTTTGGTTAAATATTCGGATATCCAAGGTTAGTACAGATTTATTGCGCATATGAAAATATCTATAAGATAGCTGTGCAGTTACGCTATAAAGCAGGAACGAAAATATCAGTAAATTATATTCAAAGTTTTGTAAATTTAAAATTCTTGCATGCTAACTTAACCTTCGCACTCATACATCTATCACGGTATTGTCTATTTCATAGACATTATTCCACAGACAACTTAGTTCATAGATAATATATAGACAAGATTATTTTACCGACCATTAATTCACAAACAAGCATTTCACAGACAGCTTATTTTACTGACTGCTTGTTTCACAGACAAGGTACAGTAATTCTAGTTCTTGTCACTAGATCCAAGCTTAGAAGTCATGTTATGTAATCAATAAAAAACTTGAAAATAATCTATCTATGAAATAAACCTGTCTATGAATTAATCGTTAGTAAAAGAATCTTGTCTGTAAATTAACTGCTATGAATCAGAGACGTGAGAATTTTGTGATTTGCCTGATCGAAGCAGATTATAAAAAACGTATAGTTTACTGCGATTTGCTTCGATTACAACAAAATATACAGTCAACAATCTTTAAACAACTCCTCTAAGTGCAACTTCTCTCCGAATGCAACTCTGATTTCGGGCACAAGAATATGCCTGGTATGTGTTTTATCTCTATAAATGCAATTTTTCTTAATTGCTTTATAAATGCCTGTTGCTAAAATCCTGGTCCCAATGAATGTAGTTATATTTCAGGCATATTAAATAGCTATATTTTTTAGCAAATATAATATAATTATTCTAGTAAATTACTATAAAATAGTATTTTGTTTAGCAAACAGAATAAATTATTAATTATTAAAAAACGCACCTATGGTGGTTTTGCATCTATTATATGTTTTTATTATGTTTTTTAAATTTTTCTAAGTTTTTATAAGTTTTGAATATAAAATTTTTAACATCAATTTTTTCACGTTAAAGTTGATATTAAGGTTAGGATTAGGGTTTGGGAAGGGTTTTTGGGGGCGTAGAACATTTTTACTTAGAACATATCACACTAATTAATTAGCCAGTTTTTGAGATAATGTATATATAGGTGTAAAACACCATAGATGCGTTTTAGTAAATCCTAAATATAGTCAACTCCTTTTATAATAAAATAATAGTTTTAAACATATATTTGTTATAGAAAATTGCTATATTTTTTTAAAAGCACAGTACTTCTTATATTAAATTGGTATAAAATTTAAATTTTAAGTTTATTATATTTGGAATTTATTATTTCTTAAACTGTAAGTTATTCTAGACAAATTTGTTAAAAAAGTTTTTTAAAAATTATAAAATTTAAATAATTTTTTAATAATATTTGATAATAAAAATTATTATTTTTTTTTTTTGTTATTAAGGTGAGGCCTTGCTCGTATCTTTATTAATAGTTTTTAATATAATAACTACAGT